ACCACTACAATATAGGCAGAGGAAGCTCCCAAACCTATAAACAATGTTTCTAGATTGCTCTGCTGGTGAATAAGGAGAATTGTTTTTTTTTTTTTTTTTTTGAGGAGTTGTAACTATAAATCAAATTCTTTACCAATGTCCTAAATATTGCCCAATAAGAAGCTCATATTTCCAATTTAAAAAGTGCTTAAGAATGTTCTCTTGTTGCACTAAGGCCACACTAATCTCAGTGGGGTCACATCAGTGGTGTCCAAGCATGTTTCTGTTCTGTCATCAGCTCACTGTGTTATCTTGGGTGTATCTTCTGTGTGTTTCTTTGTAAAACAAGTAAAAATATTTAGGTGTCATGGCACATGGTTACTTAGAATATTGGCCTGATGCCCTCAATATCTGGAACCTTACTCTTGTCCAACAGTTGTTTCCTTTTCAGAGAATGTGCATTCTGGAAAATGGTTATCATCTATTTTGCATATTCCCAAACTTTGATGATGGCCCACATGTTTAGTACCAAATACTTCCCAAGGAAGCAGGCAGAGAGGCACTGCTAGCTACATGGCACTTTATTCTGAGCAATTAAATGGCATTTGAAAAAGGTGTACAAATCTTACATGTCAGCCCCAGACATAGACTGCCATGGACTTCTTCACTATAGCTCGTCATGAATAGCATTAGTCCATCACGGCCATCTGATTTGGCTAGTTTTCCAAATTTACACGGAAGGTCTGCTTTAAGATAAAGTTGAGTTTTTTTATCTTCAAACATTCAAGATAGTATGTTTTATATGATCTTTCTGTGTATAAGCATTTTTTTAATCCTAGTATTAAGATCCTCATGACATCAAAGGTCTGAGACCTCAATCATATTGTCTAATTCCTTAGAAGTCTTCCTCTCACACTTTGATGCTTGAGAGAAAGCATGGTCCCTTTGAACACCTCTTTCAAAACCAAACCACTTACTGGCAATCTTGGCAAGTTTCTGAACCTTCATTCATCTGTAACCTTATCTGAGACAAAATGAGGAAAACAATACCTGTCTGACAAGGTTACTGTGAAAAGTAAAGGTGATAATGTGGGTGAAGGCCCAGTCCCAGCAGGTCCAGCCAACAGTCACCTCCTCCCAGCTGTCTGCAATCTCTTGCTATTGGTATCAGCTTCAAACAAAGGAACAAAAACTTTCCTCTCTAAGCAGTGTTGTGATGTATCTGGGGAAGCCCAGGGTATCTATTATATAACTGCATTATATAATCTTATGGTTCCTTTAAGGTTACTTGACATTCTCAATTAACTCTATAAATCTTCCCCTTGAAACAAGAGGCGGCCTACTAATCATTTACCAAGAAATTTCAATTTAAAGGTACTTTTGACTCATGGTAATTTTTTGTCATATTTAAGAATATCTTAATCTGAGCTGGTGTGTATGTTAGCATCTACCTGGCTCTTTACCGGCCAGCCATTGAAGAGACTAAAACCTTTGCATATATGGAGAAGGCTAAAAAATATTTATAAGGGCAGAGGATAACAAGATGGTGTGAAGAGGCAGTATTAACCATCTTTACAAAGCTCATCAGGAAATGCAAGACCTAAGGAAAGCCTATGAATAGTTTATCACACCTTCATCACCAAAAACCTATGCCCTCTTACTGGCAGGGAGAGCTCTGGCAGAGTGTGGGGTACTTGGCTGGGCTGTTCAACCAGGGCTCCCTTACAGCAGGTGCTGGTTTCAGGCACGTCGCTGTTAGGTGGTGGTGGTGTCAGGTGCTGTTGAGTTAGTTCTGACTCGTAGTGACCCTGGTCCCGTCTTCACAAGCGTTGCTGTGCTTGAGCCCACTGTGGCAGACACTGTGTCCCTCCATCATGTTGAGGGGCTTCCTCTTTTCTGACCTTCTAATTGACCACTCATGATGTCCTTTCCAGGGACTGGTCCCTCCTGAAAATATGTCCAAAGTATGTGAGACAAAGCTTCACCATCCTTGCTCCCATGGCTCATTCTGGCTGCATTCGTTCAAGAGAAATGTGTTTGTTCTGGCAGTCCACGGTGTATTTAATATTCTTCGCCAATACCGTGATTCAAATGCATCAATTCTTCGGTCTTTCTCATTCTACGTCCACTTTTCACATGCATATGAGGTGACTGAAGATGCCGAGGCACACCTGAGTCCTCAAAGTGACAGCTTTGTTTTTTAACACTTTAAAGAGGTCTTTTGTAGATTTGCCCATGGTATACACTTTTCCAAAATACAAGAAAATGAGAGTAAATCTCAACCTTATGGTAATACGGTTCTGGTAGTAAATATAAACAACTAAAAACAATGTGCAAAATCTCGCTCTGCTTAGATCTGTCTATTCATGGTAATGGCTCTTTAACTACCAAAGGCTGTTTGACTGTGGTCTGCTTCCACAAGAGTGACTGTGGGGAGAGAAACACCTGACACTTTCAGAGAGTGGGAGGAAGGAAGGAAACCGAGACATCAGAAACAGTGTGAAGGCCTGACCTCAGCAGTGCTGGGCAAGGCCATTCTGCCTACCCAGTGCTCCTAATGAATCTCCTGTCGTCTTCACCCATTGAGAGAGCACAGCTGACTTCACTGGAACCTGAAGTACCATTTGGTAATTTTGCATTAAGCAATGCCCTTACGGAAAACTGCAAATCCTTCTGGGAAACAGTCCTATGAGTTAGCTAACCTGCTGCTTGAAATGTGATGTAGATGGGGATGTAAGGTAACCGTGAAGCAGAGTATGATGGAGTGAAGGTGGGCTGAAGGTATGATGTGGGAATCTGGGAATGAGCTATAGAAAAGATGATGGCCTGGTACCAACACCTCTTACAAAATTGTAGGTAAAGAGCTATATAAACTTCTGCATGTTTTTATTCGTGGGTCTCATAAACAGGCTAGTTACTAGAGCAGCGTTTGGGCACAGCATGAGACAAACCTAGTTTGATGAACTGGCCTTGGATCTATATTACAGAAGCTAGGGGAGAATGAATGGATTTCTCAACAACTAATACACTTCTGCAACATGAAACTGACAACTTTCGAGGGGCTTCCTTTGAAATTGTATACTTGACAAACAGTTGCTATATATAAATAGTTTGTCAGTATTCTGACTTTATAACCCGTTTTACTGAAGCTTCCCCACCCCATAAAATATGGAGCTGAACCACACAGTTAAAAAAAGAAGCAAGACAGCCACACTGCTGCTTTTTTTTTTTTTTTTTGTTAAAGTATCAGCCTAGCTTTCAATTCCACTTACAAAGCATAAAATTCAAAAGTAGAGGACACAGCTCATTGCCATCCCAAGAACTGACTGCCTGTTAAGATCAAAGAGTTGAAGATCCTTTTCTAAACGTGCATGACGGAGGAGAAACTGAAGGCAAAGAATGTTTGTGGAACTGGAAACATGTCTGCTAGACTCAGTACGCCTCTAGATGGCATGCTGAATGGCAAGTTTTTCTTTTAGATTGCCTAAGAAAATTAGGGAACCTTGCCTTCCTCGGAGCCATGGAGCTGGCTACCTAGTCCTCAGAAAGGCAAAATTTACAAAGACTGGGCTTGAATACAGCTGGCCTTTCAATCCTTACTTCAGTAATGAAGAGTTGAGGTTTATCTTTAAAAGAACATATTCAATTATTAATACATTCTAGGGGTTTGGGGAATTATATGCCTTAACAACTACCTTTACTATTTAGAATGTATATAAGCAGGCTTAATTGAGGAGTTATAAAATATACTGTAAATAATCAGAAAAAGGTTTCAAATTAATTTTCTAGTAATAATTAGGAAAAGAAACATTTTAGCAGCCTTACAGTCACTAAGACATTGGTCTGAATAAAAAGACCTCAAACATAGGGTAAAATTTACTTAATTAAAAAAATTAAGTTTCTAAATTTCATTTTCTATCCCCTTCTCCTTTAGTTTTACTTTCTTCTGAGCCTACAGCTTTTACAACTGACACCATAACTTCATGTAATTGTTGTATAACACTTAAAAATTGAATCTGCCAGTCTCTTAAATCAATATTGAAAATGATTTCATCATAACGCCTTCCCCACCCCTTCTAGCTGCCTCCCTCCCTGATACTTCCTGCCTCTGTTCCCTGAGAAGTCAGCTCACTGGATAGGGGACCGATATGAGTTGCATCCTTAATGCTCTGTTTTCTTAAAAACCAAGTGTTATACATTTTGTTCAGATATCTGGGGCATAGAAATATCTGTGCAACAAGGGGCTAAGGCACCATTTCTTCTTTCCTTTCCTTGTTTGGCTTGGGAGCAGAAGCAAAGACTAATGGGACTGTCAGGGTGGCTAGTCAGTCTGACATCTGTTGGCAAAATACATTATCAGCCAGTATCACTGGGGACTCTGCGTCAAAGACTGCCCTGCCACAGACTTAAACCCTGCCAGGAAAGAAGTTCCTTTCTCTAGAAATAGGGAAACAAAGGCACAACAGTACCTTACATGGGAGTTGGTATATACCAACCTGAGAAGACTGATAAGAAAAATTCTGAAATGTCCTGGAATATTTTGCAGCAAAAGTCATCCCTTTCTTATTACACCCAAGAATATGTTTTTGAAGCTGTTTTCTTCCCAACCAAACCCATAATCCAAATCTTCCTCCAATTTTAATAACTTCTTAGTATTTATACATCAGCTTGACTTACCAGCAGATATTTCCATAGCAAATTACACTTATTTTTTCAAATTGTAGATCAAATGGATCAATGCAGTGTTTTCAAAGGAGTAGTCTTTGAAATTGACCCATTTGGGAACAACAGTGAAAGCAAAAGCTCTGGGAAATAAACTTCAAGATTTGTAAAGATGTGTCAAGGGATGGAGTCTCTTCTGAAATAATGTGCAAACTCAGAGCATCATTTGTGTCATCTAGATACCACCTCAGGATCCAAATGGCACCAATGCTGATTAGTTAGGGAGTGGCTAGAAAGGTTTTTTCCTTTTTATTTTTCACATTAGGGAAAACTGTTCTTTGAGAGATGAATTTAAGTGGGTGGAGAAAATGCTATCAGTTGAGTTGGCAGGCATACTCTAACCCTTGCTATTTCAGTTCCTTGGGAATGGAATGTGAGTCTTTATACAATGATGTCATACACACGGCCCACTCTGCCCAGCCATTCTCTCACAGCCTGGCGAACTCTGATATCAGTCACGTGACAGGTCAGCTGGCTGATGCATGGGAACACTGCTGGCTGGAGGGCAGTGAAGGTCTGGTCTGGAAGGATCTGAATCTGGTTGAGAACTGTTAGCACCATGTTGGTCCATGCCTAAGAGAAAGGATTTAATAGAATTTAGCAGCTTTTTCCCATGGTTTCATTTGAACGCTCAGGTGTTGCTATGCCTTGCTAATCTGTTAACTGGTTTTCTCAGGCTTTAGGCTGCAATAAATTGTCACTGGCGTTTTGTTTTGTTGTACTTGGGGATGCTACCAACCAACCAATGCTACAGGTTTGAAGTCACTGTTGCAGCCACTGTGTCAGTCTATCTTGTGAGGGTCTTCCTCTTTCTCACTGACCCTCTACTTTACCAAGCATGATGTCTTTTTCTCTAGGGAGGGACTGGTCCCACCTAATTTGATACGCCTACAATTAGCTGCCATTTTAAATACTTTCAAAGGATGGGCAGAGCCACACATAACATTAAAACCAAGCCAGTTGCTGTTGAGTCTATTCTAAGTACAACTGTGCTTCATAGAGTTTTCATGGCTATCATCTTTCGGAAGCAGATTGTCAGGCCTTTCTTCTGAGGTGCCTGGGTGGGTTCAAACTGGCAACATTTTGGTTAGTAGCTGTGCACCTAGAGACCCTACATTTAATATTTCCACTGCCATGAAGTGGATTCCGACTCATAAGGACCCTTGTTGGGTTTCCAAGGTTGTAAATCTTTACAGAAGTAGATTGTCTTATCTTCCTCCCACAGAGCAGATAGGTTTGAACCGCCAACCTTATGGTTAGCAGCCCAAATGCCTTACTTCCAGCTTTCACAAACTCCTAAAAAAAACCCTTCTCATAATGAGATTTCCATAGGCCACATAATAATTTAAACCAACAGTCTTTATAATGACTACACAAGTTGGAATATATGCATGTTTTAATTTAGGATCATTTAACCTTTTCATGACTGAATTAGCTTCTGTTCTGAATTTTTTGTTGATACCATGTGTTTTCAATAGTGGAAGCATGCTGAAATCTAAAAAAAAGTTTTTTTTTAGGTAATACGGATTTTGATACAATTATGTGGGAGACATATGTCCAAGTGGACTCTCGTGATAAGATTGGTGGGGTGAGGCCTGTTTCTTCAGATTTGCACAATTATATAGCTCTCTGGGGGGTGGTAGCATGTAGTACAACTGGGATAGCGGCTTCCCAAGAAATCTGAGAAGCTTAAAATGTTGGATTCTATCTGTCTCATGGGTCATGACAAGGTTAAAGAATACCCTACATCTCAATTTGACTGGATACTGTCAAAACTCTAACCAAAAAACCCAAACTCACTGCCGTCAAGTCGGTCCTGACTCATAGTGACTCCTCCTTGGGTTTCTGAGGCGGCATCACTGCAGAAGTAGCTTGCCCAACCTTCCTTCTGAGGAGTGGCTGATGGGTATGAACTGCCAGCCTTGTGGTTAGCAGTCAAGTGCCTTAGGCACCATGCCACCAGAGCTTCTTTTCAAAACTGTAGTCTAAAATAATGTCTGTGGACTCTGGATTATGAAGTTGAGTTCTAAGTTCAAGATACTTCAAGGAAAATGAAAGCACCTTGCAGGACTCTTCCTAATGCCAGTTTATATTCACTCTGAGAATATATTCCTGTATACAGGTTTATAACAGGTTTACAGAAACCGAGAGCTCCACATTTCCTAACTTTTTCATGTCTGTGACAGAGATCCATAATGTAAAATGCCTTTCCCTGCCTCTAGATCCTTCTGTTTCTCTTTTTTCCTGTCTCATTTCATCTCAGGCTCATTCATGACGCACCACGGAATTAAAAATTAAACTGTGAAGCAAGAGGCACACTCAAACCTCTTTGGGGAATGGGTGTGTGCCTGGGATGGATTAGAAAAACTTGAGATGAAAACAATGCATTATTGGTCACTTTTCATTACATAGTGCTTCACAACTACAGGTTTTCTTAAATGCTCTCTTCAAAACTAATGACTTAATTTCAGTTAAATGTCCATCAACTTTATAAGCTTCATCTTATTTATACAGGTGATCTGCTAATTTTTGTAGGGCCCTTGGGTGGTGCAAAAGGTTGGGGGTTCAAATCCACTCAGATGAGCTGCAGAAGAAAGGCCTATGATCTACTTTTGCACGATTACATTCACAAAAACCTTATGGAGTGCAGTGTTGCTCTCACACAATGGTGGTGTTGCCATGACAGCAACAGGTCTCCCTAACTCTAACATTGTGTGTTACAAAGCATACAAACAGTGCCTGAAGTATCAGAGAATGTAATTTCATTTTCACACTGATGCAGTATTACGGATCCTGTGTTAGGTAAGGCAGTCCTGTTACTTCGGGGTAAATGACTCCCCTATTGGCTTTTATCAAATTGGCTTATATCAAATTTTAGCGTGGGTATCAATGCTCTGTGAGAGTGACCATGTCTGTTACTTGAAAGCTAGCCTTACGCCCGCATTTCCAGGGCCTCCCCCTACAACCCCTGGGCAGTAGGGACATACCTGGATCTGTGCTTCAGCGTCTCTCACGGACACGCTGAGGGAGCTCCCGGTGGAGCCCGAGCGGGGCCTCTTTTCCTGCCGCAGGAGCTCAGGGCCTGCGCTGAAGGAATGCCGCATCTGACCTTGGTCCACCAAGTGCTGGGGCCTCTGAAGCAGTGGGGAGTCCTGACCCCTGGAGCCCAGCGGCTCCCCCTTCTTCTCCACTTTGACTTCTTTGGTGAACGGGGGAAGGTTGTGTTGCTGTTTCCTCTTTTTATACTCAGTCATCAACTTTGAGATGGTCTTGTCGGCTGCCATGGTGTAGATCTTGTTGCCGGCGTTCTCCCACCACTCCTTCTTCTGGCTGGGGTCCTTCTTCTCCACTTTGGGGCTAGGGGACAGCATCAGCACGTCCCCACTGCCTGCCCTCAAACCATCTCCGACATGATCCCGTATTTGACTTCGGTCATCCTCCGAAGGCGTGTCTTTCCCAGAGAAGCCCCCCGTGGATGGAGTGGATGACTCAGACTGGAAGGAGGGAAGGATGAAGAATGGGTCGTTCTTGAAGAGAGGTGGCTCCTCCACACTGTTTTCCAGGTCCAAGTGCATCTGGATATAGTTGTTGCATAGCTCCATGCACAGTTTGTGAAGCCTCTTGACCAGCCACACCCAGTCTGCATTGCTGATGGGCTGGACACTCAGAGAGGGCATCCTTGCCCTCCACTGCCTCTTCTCCTTGCCCCTTGGGGGGCTCACCTGGGCAGTTTCCTCAAAAATGTCTTCATCTTCTGAGGAGCACTGTTGGGAGGAATCTGTGCTTCTCTCATCGTCCTCAAAAAGGACTTTCTTCACTTGCTCAGCAGTGATGGTCTCTTGATTGGTGAGGACAGCACACACCAGTGCGTGGAAATAAATGTTAAAGCTCATTGCAGACTGGCGGTAGAGGTTGGCGGTGCCCCCAATGCCCGACACCTTCTTCAGCAGGCACTTCAACCCGGGGCTGGTGTCAAACTCTCTGGCCGTTCTGTATGAGTCCAGCAGCAGGTCAAATATGACGGCCAAGTTCTGCATGGAGATGTACCTGAGGAAGCCCGCCAGCTTGTTCTCTGGCACCTGGATCGTCTTCTCATCTCCAGGACAGGGGCCTTTGACAAATTCTTCTAACAAAATGTCATACAGGTTCTGTAGTAACACTTGATGAGACAGTAAGCTCACCACAATCTCCCTGAAGGAAACACTTCAAATGAAAAGAACAGAGTTGATTAGTAGCCTTCTGCCTTATATCAGTTAATGGAAGCGATTCAGACATTACACATTTCAGAATTCAGAACCATACATTATCTTCCTTAAGGCATTACATGATAACCATTTTACTGGAAATTGACACTTTTTAAATTTCAGGGGTTGCAGAATTAAATATGTTATGAAACTGAACTAACAATTATCAAGTCTTAAGAAACAAAGACTAATTTTTATAAAAAATTTTAATATAGGCACAATTATGGGACATGACACATTTTTCATACAAAAATTTCTGTGCAGCTCTATTAATTTTAATTTCCTTTTTCTAGCCCTTTACTCTTAGAAATTGTATTGCAGCCTGGATTTACAGGGACCAAACTAGCTTTCCAGGATTAAATGTTAGTGTTTTAGGTGCATATTCAGAAAAACATTGGTGCTTCCAGCATGTGAGAAGGCAGCAAGCTAGCTACTGGAACGTTTAAACTAGAGGTATTATGGAGCTAACGTTTGCAAGGTTAGGAAATAAATGGGTAACTTAACTCACAGCATTCTAAAACAAACCCGTGTCAGAAAGCAGTAGTCACTCAGCAAATGCCACTTCCCTTCCTGCCATGGACTGCTTTCTGGGCCTTGAGTATTCACTTGGTTCGAGGAGATGCCCCTCAGGTCAGCGAGATGTGATGGGAACGTGGGAGAAGGTGCGGGCCATGAGGCTTTCCCTTCTCCTCCCCAGACATCTAGCCAGGCCTCTTGGTTGAGGAGCAGCTTCCGGCTCTTTTTCTAATTAGTTACCTGGACTAGGTAACTTCAGAAGTGAATGTTCAAACACTTGATGATTCGGCTCCTTCTATTTGGTCTGAGTTCACTACTGTGATTTTGGCTTTATGTTTTCATGTTCTTTTCACTGCTTTTACATTTTTGTGAAAATATCATATGGTATTTAATGTTGCAAGCTAATTCACATAACTGGGTAATTAGGAAAAACTCACATACCTGGATAATTATGAAATTGACAAATCTTATTAGCAAAGTTGATTTCAAAGGTCTAACTATTATGTAAGTAGTTTTTGCTTTATTTTTAGTTTAGTGACAACCTTGAATTTAAAAATTATTCTTTTCTGCTATGTAGAAAAGAAAAATCCTGCCATAGATTTAAGGAAGCAGAAGATGTTCTGCTGCTCTCCATTAATGATCCGTTTTAAAAGAGGAGTCCATTGCCATTTTAATACATGCTGTGTGCTATGAAAAGTTCTATTCCTTAAGTTGGGTGCAGGTGTGTAGTTATTTTTGTTACTATTCATGCTTTATAACTTTTGAACATTCCATATCCTTTGAATGTTATCAAATACTTTACTAAAAAAAGTTACTAACTGGAAATTTCACCCAAACTGTTGTACTAACCAGCTACCTTTTGGACAAATAACCCAGAGCCCATGAAAACAGTAAGGGGGACAGGGCTTTGCTCAGCCAGACCTGGCTTTGATTCTGTCTTACCTCTTAGCAGCCGTGAGGCCCTCACCCTCTACGTGTTTCCTCGTGGATAAATGGATGTGGTGATGTCTACCCACAGTACTTCACATATAATGCTGAAATATTTGTCATTGTTGTTCTTAGTGTGTCAGGAGTTTAAAAATTAGGAAAGTTCTGTTATTTCATCTTTGTTTATAAGAACATTTTGTTTTTGGTAGAATGGTAGTACTGTGGGAGCCGAGGGATTGTTATTCCAGGTCTTACAAGTTTTTCAGCCCCTGACAGGGTACAGTCTTACCACTTTCCTATTGCTCATTTTATTGGAAAATATTTGCATTTTCCTTCTCTAATACGTTTCCATCTTACATAGGTTCCACCTTTCACAGGTTTTATTGTATTTATAAAGTGCCTCTTTCTTGTGGCAGGGCACATATCTTTTGTTTCCTGACAGCTGTACTGTTCCTGGAACAGTTTATAAATTTTTCACAGAAGCCAGCCTCAGATAACAATGAAAAACTTACAATATGTATAAGATGCAGGATTTGTTCAAAAGGTAAAAAGTTTTGGGGTTTTTTTTTGCTGAAAATCTTTCCTAAGTGACACCACAAATGTTTTATATTGTTTTTTGCCTAAGTTTGGATTACCATAAGTAACAGTTGGGAATAATAAATTAACTTTCTCGTAACAAGCTCCTTACCTGACTAAGGTTAGCGGCTTACCTTTTTTTGGCGTGACCGTTTGGTTTCTCATCGGGAGGCAGCTCAATGATGAGCTGACAGGACTGAGCATGATCAAAGTTGTTGGGGGTCTTTGGTGAGCACTGGGTGTCCAGCATAAACACCTGCACGTACACACAAAGGCACAGCTCAGAAATGCCCTTCGGTGCCCAGGCTCCCCTGGCAACAGCTGAGAGGCTTTGGGCAAACAGTTTACTCTCTTTACCTGTTTTCCTTGCTTATAAAATGGGGATCATGATGGCCTCCTTCCTGTACATTTGTTGAGAATTAATAATATATGTGTATTACATATGCAAAGCATTAGAACAGAGGAATGAATACTCAAAACACATTAGCTGCTGACACTAACAGTAATAGCACTACATCTATCACAGGGCAAGCCACTACAGTTCAATGAACAAGAACTGACATTTAATATTAATTAAGAGTAAATAATGACATATTATGTTTGTAAGCAATGAGATGGACTGACACAGTGGCTGGCTGCAATGCTGGGCTCAAGCGTAGCAGGGATTGTGAGGATGGGGCAGGACTGGGCAGTGTTTCGTTTTGTTGTACACAGGTGTTGTCGAGTCGGCTCCAACCCACAGCGACCCTAAAGACAACATGTTCGTAAAGTTCTCTGATTTTGACTTCTGTTTGGTATATTATTTTTAACATAAGAATAAGAATTTAATTAAGACTTCTATCAGGACTACTGATGGGTAAGATATTCTACCAGACTATTGGAGACATGACTAAGAAAAACAAACTCCAAAAAACCAAACTCACTGCCATCGAGTTGATTCCAACTCACAGCACCCACCCCCTTTGGGTTTCCAAGGCAGTAAATCTCTACGGAAGTAGATTGTCCAGTCTTCCTTTTGAGGAGTGGCTGGTGGGTTTGAACTGCCAACCTTCTGGTTAGCAGTCAAATGTCTTAGGCACTAAGCCACCAGAGCTCCTTACTAAGAAAAATAGTAACTACTTTTAGGATGTCTCATTTGAATGATTTCATTTTACAGGATTTGCCTCTACTACTTTCTGTGGGAAATATTAGTTTGTTTTTTTTTTTAAGGTAACTTCTTCCCAAATCTTGTAAGAATTATCAGACTATTTAATACTGGGTTATTCTAAGACTGAATGCAGGAGGAGTGTTTGGGACTGAAGAAGAAATATTAAGAAGTAAAAGACTCAATAAATTTTTCTCCTCCATTAATGATCCATTTTAGAAGAGGATGCCATGGCCATTTTAATACTCCGTGTGGTATGACATGGTTGAAAAGACCACTGTATGCACATATGGAAATTCTCCATCTGGCCAGCTGCAATGGCTTCCTACTTAATGACGCTGTCACTTTGCAGGACTATCCTCTTGGTTTCTCTGTTACAGTTACTAGTCAGACTTACTGCTTCTATATGCTTTGCTCTAGTAATACAATGGTAATTCCTTCATAGGGGATAAATTTAAGTAATCATTTACATTCAATTGTGAATGTTTGATATGATCATTCAAATTTATTAAGCAACTTTTAAATGATAAGCTCTGTATTTAGTCAGTTTGCTACCCTTAAGTACTCATAGTCTAACAGGAACATTAATATTTAAGTAAATTGTTATAAGGACTATAAGCAATTATGTAAAAAGTATAGTGGGAGGCTACAGAAAGAATCTGATGTGGATACTTAGAGTTTGCAACAAGCAAATGATGTTGGAGAGAAGGGAACTGTTGACTGGGTGAGTTAAAGTCATTCCTGGTGAAGAAATGGTACTGGCAAGCATATGTCCCTAAGGCAAGAAAAGACCATTTGGTGATGCAAGAGTTTTAGGAAAGATGCATAGGACTGGTATATCAAGCTTCTAGAGCCACCCCTGATGTCAAAAGCCTTACCTGCTGAGCCATGGCTCGGATGCGCCAGTACTCTGCTTCGGCACTGGGGGAGGAGGAAGGGGCTGCTACCCGTACCTGGCAGCCTTCCCCACTGAAGCTCTCAGTGCCACTGTGGAAACAGCCCAGAAGGTCCTGGAGAGAAACACAGCAGATGTTCACTGAAGCATCCGGGTTCATGGCAGCAGGCTCCATCTTGGATCTAACGCTGTCAATTGAGAGTTCTGACTAGGACAAAAGTACTAACCTAGCAACTTCTTCCTCAACATCATTGGAAGAGGATTCCATGGACATTTTAATACTCTGTGTGGTGTGACATGGTTGAGACTCCCTGCTTTGAGTAGGAAGGCAGGGTCCAGGTGCCCAACTTGACAAAGCACCAGGGAGCTAGGGAGATTGGGACCTGCTCCGGCTCTCTCCTCAGGGCAATTTACCTTCACTGGTTTGAGGGTGGCCGAGAAGGCCTCCTGCAGGGCACAGCATGCAAGTCTCCACATTTCTTCGGTGAACACAGGTCCCGCTGTCACAAGGACATACCTGCTCAGAAAAATGAGGAAATTCTTGAACCCAAATAGAGATCCCTTATAGTCATGTAGAGACATTCACCCTAGTTTCCTGAGCCACTTCATCATGAAAATGTGAGTGGCTCCCCATTACTAATGTGCCAACATTTAAATGTATATGTAATGCTGTATATATTTGGTACCAATTTTTCCTTCTAGGCCTGTTTTCCACAACTCCTTCACAAATACCAAACAAATAAAACAGCAACAAAACCCCTATTGTTGTCACCTATAATTCCTACCTTCCTACATTTATTCATGCCATTCTTCTGCTCAGAAAGCCCCCACCTACCAAAATCTTACCTATGTTAGGAAATCTGAGCATCTGAAGCCCCAAGCTTCCTCTGCTTTCTTGGCATTCATCGGTTGTTCTTTACTATTGTGATTTTTCATGGAACTCTCTCTGTTAGGTCTGAATAGAATATAAGCTCCTTGACAGCATGATTTACATCACTGTCTATGTACCACAGTACCTTTCATAATGCCTTACACAGTATTTGCTTACAACACTGAAATGAAGAGTTATTAGAAGAGAGACGTTCTTACTTGCAAAACCTACTACTGCTAGTCAATTCCAACTCACAGCAACCCTTTAGGACAGAGCAGAACTGCCCCATAGGGTTTCCAAAGCTGCAAATCTTTATGGAAGCAGATTGCCACATCTTTCTTTCTCCCATGAAATAGCTGGTGGGTTTGAACCACTGACCTTTTGGTTATCAGCTGAGCACTTAACCACTGTGCCACCAGTGCTCCTTTAATTTAATTCCCTTGGATTTCATAATGGAAATTCCTATTCTGTGGAGAGTCAAGGAACGTTTTTCTCACCTAATACAGGAGCAGCCCACTCTGGAGATGGTTTCTGTGGGCTTGGCCACACACGCTACCAGTAACTCAAATAGGTCCTTCAGCATGGTGTTGATCATACTCTCATACCTGATATCTAAGGAAAACACAAAATCAAGATTCCACTCAACTCTATTGTAAAGCAACTGATAAAATGGCCATCCATAGCAAAAGAGGAAAGACTAGTGATAACTTTATAAACATATGGGAAAAACAAATAGAACAATGGAAAAAATGGCTATCAAAACAAAACAAAACCCCAGCAAAACAACAATTTTCTTGGATTTGAATCCAAAATCAGCTTGTTTCATCAATTCTAGATATATCAAGATGAAATATGTGGTTTACTTTTATGTGTTGTTTATTTTTCAAAGTATATGATTTATCTAGTTAATCAGAATAGAAAATATATAACCAGAATACCAGTTGGTAAAAACATTAAAATTCTAAAAATATATACTTTCAATAGCTGGATTAAATTCTCCTAAAAAACAAAAAGACTCTAGTCCTAACATTTCTTGAATCTTGCCAATCGGGCTTCAATCTGCATGCTATTATCAGGCTAAAGAAAGTAAGACTACAGGCAGGGGGGAGTGTGCCCATGGCCATGTATACGGCTGGCAGATGATGTTTCTTCAAGCATATTTGTATGTGCTGTACGAATGCCCAGGTGTATAGTAGAGCTGACAGGGGACTAGGTTGTGTTGACTTGGCTACACCCAGCTACCTGGAAGGAGCAAGTAATTGGACCTGTAGGCTTGGAATCATGGTTGCAGGGGACACCAAGCTCAATTGGCATCACATACTACACAAGAGCATTTTTCTACAGTCTACTTTGGTGAGTAGTGACTGGGGTCTAAAAGCTTGCACAAGCGGCCATCTAGATGCAATGATGAGTCTCTCCTCATCCAGAGCAAAGAAGAATGAAGAAAACCAAAGATTCATGGAAACAATTAGTCCATGGGACTGGCGGACCATGTGATCCTCAGCCTATATGACCATGGAATCAGAGGTGCTAGATGGTAGCTGGCTACCACTGTCAGCCACTAGGAGGGGGATCTACATAGGATAGAGTGGGAGAACAATGTGGAACAAAACTCAAAATCATAAAAAAAAAAGAAAAAAGACCAGGTTTGCTGGTCTGATAGAGCCTGGTAAGACCCCTGAGACTATGGCCCCTAGCTAACCTTCAGGTCTGGAATTGAACTCACTCCTGTGGCTTCCAGCCAAATAACAGACAGGCATATGGGGTAAACATTTACATCAGGTAGATATACTCCTTGGAGCAATCAATCATGGGAGAAAAGAATGACAGTGTTTGCACAGAGAGACAGCTCGGGGTGGGAGTACATGGGAGGAAAGGAACGGAAGAGGTAATTGTGGGGAGGAAGTGGCAAGAGAGCTGTTACATTGTGAGGAATTGCTCAATGTCATGAGACAAAATGTGTATGGACTGCTGTATGGAAAATGAATTTGTTCTGTTAACTTTCACCCAAGTCACAATAAAAATTAAAAAAGAAAAAGAAAATAAGACTATAAAACCAAATTTTCTTTGCCCAATTCAAGAAGTATGTCTGTATTCTTTTCCTCAAACTTCCTGTGATGCCACAGGACCAACTTGAGTGGAATCCTCTGGGGGCCAATGCTGGGCAAAGCAATGACCTGGATCAGGACATACACCCTTAGGGTCACAGTTACCACTGATAGGTCGAAACAATCACTTGTCTTCTTTCTCAATGAGCATTCCTTTTGCAGTGCAATTTGTCCTTACTAAACAGAGACACAATTTCTTACCTTTTCTTGGTGACTCTCCCTTGGGGGTCAACAGTTTCATTGTTTTTCTGATCTCTCCAACAAGGGCCTCTCACTTTCTTCCTTATACTTGCACATGCTTTTCCCTTTTATTAATAAACTGTGGTTTGCAGTGACGTTTCCTCTGTTCCCAAACTTCCAGATCTCATGGTAGATCATGAGCAAGAATCAGTTTTTCACAAGTGTTTCTCCAGTGGCACCACGTATTTCTCCTGCCTGCGTATTTCTCTTCATCTGCTCACATCAAACATACTATTTTACCCTGCACTTTAAAATCTTCTCTTCAACTTGTTTGGCAATTTCTTGCCCATAATGGAAGTCTTTTCTAAAACCCTTCCTCCTCCATTTAACTTCTCCAGATAAATCAGGTCAAGAGGATAGAGCCCCTCACTAACTCCAACCTACAGGGATATTTCTTCTTTTGGTAATTTATTATACACTTGAACTTCTCTTTCCTAATGTATAGATGCTCTAAACCTGCTCACTACATATTTGTAATCATATATATATATTTTGAGAACTATTTGATTATTTTGTGGAGAGCGTGTGAGCATCAGTTTTCTTTTTGAAAATCTACTTCTAGAAAGCTGGCATTGGCCATGTAATTCTATTTTAATAATTCCTAGGACAAAAACCATGTTCTGTTAGGTATTTACTAACGACTTTTAGACAACGATGCTGCCTACTAAAGAAATACCCAGAAGGAACTGCTCTGGCAAAATAAGATACCTGAGTGTATAAAGCTTTGAATGTGTTCCACTACCAGCTCACAGGACAGGCCGATGGCATGCTTGAAATTAGCAGAGGCCACATCCCAGTAAGAATGGTCTTTGTGGCTACGGCGGAGCCAAACGGACATCACGGGAAGGAGAAGGTGAACGACTGCATAGATACCGAAGCCTGGTCCTGAAAAAGAACAGTTGGCACCAGAACTGTGATCTCAGCAACAATCCTGTATGTAATAAAAGGGGAGCTCTTTGCCATCATTTGGCCTTACCACCCTCCAAAGAGACCAAGGAAAAAGAAGTTACCACTGTTTGGAGCATAGATGCTTCTTCAGTGACATTTTTCATTTTTGTTCCTGCGTGACTTTAGTTATAGTAGGAATGCATGAATATATTCTTTTAAAAAATTCAAATAATATTGATAAAAGTAAAGTATCACTTAATCAATTCCCAGTCCCCAGATGTAAATACAATAGGGTACACATACACAAGTACATATATGCATGTAAAAAAATATTTTAAATGTAAATACATATATATATCTATACGAAACAGATGTTTGTTTGTGTCTGTTTCTGCTCATTTTAAGTCATGCCACATCAGCCAACGGAGGTCCCAAAAGCTTTATCTATCCATATCGTAAGGTTGTCTCTACTTTGAGGAGTCAGCTGTTCTCCAATCAAATTTTGATGCAAATATCCAGTAATAATTAGGACATGGAATGTATGAAGTATGAATCTAGGAAAATTGGAAGTTGTCGAAAATGAAATGGACTGCATAAAGATTGATATTGGAGGCATTAGTGAGCTGAAGTGGACTGGTTTTGGCCATTTTGAGTCAAAAAACTATATGATCTACTATGATGGAATGACAAATTGAAGAGGGATGGTGTGGCATTTATTGTCACAAAGACTGTTTCAATATCTGAAGTACAACACTGTCAGTGATAGGATAATATCCATATGCCTGCAAGGAAGACCAGTTAATACTACTATTATCCAAATTTACACACCAACCACCAAAGCCAAAGATGAGGAAATTGAAGATTTCTACCAACTTTTGCAGTCTGAAATTGATCTAACATGCAATCAAGATGTGTTGATTATCATTTGTGACTGGAATGCCAAAGTTGGAAACAAAGAAGAGTTACTGGTAGTTGGAAAATATGGCCTTGGTGATAGAAATAATGCTGGAGATTGCATGATAGAATTTTGCAAGACCAATAACTTATTCATTGCAAATACCTTTTTTCAACAACATAAGCAATGACTATATGAGCTCTGGTAATATAGTGGCTAAGACACTTGACTGCTAACCAGAAGGCTGGCGGTTCAAACCCACCAGCCACTCCTCGGAAGGAAGGTTGGGCAATCCTACTTCCGTAGTGATACTGCCTCGGAAACCCAAGGAGGGGTCGCTATGAGTCAGGGCTGACTCGACGGCACATAACAACAACAAATATATATGGACTTCACCAGATGGAATACACAGGAATCAGATTGACTACATTTGTGGCAAGAGGTGATGGAGAAGCTCAATATCTTTGGCCAAAATTAGGCCAGGAGCTGAATGTGGAATAGACCATCAACTGCTCATCAAATGCACATTCAAGTTGAAGGTGAAGACAATTAAAACAAGCCCACGAGAGCCAAAATATGACCTTGGTAATAACCCTCCTGAATTTAGAGACCATTTAAAGAATAGACTTGATGCATTGAACACCAATGACCAAAACCCAGAGGAATTGTGATATGACATCAAGAATATCATCCATGAAGAACACAAGAGGTCATTAAAAAGATAAGAAAGGAAGAAAGACCAAAATGGATGTCAGAAGAGATTCTGAAACTTGACCTTGAGTGTGGAGTAGCTAAAGAAAATGGAAGAAATGACAAGATAAAAGAACTGAACAGAAGATTTCAAATAGCAGCTTGAGCAGACAAAGCGAATTACTATAATGAAATGTACAAAGACCTGGAATTAGAGAACCAAAAGGGAAGAACATGCTTGGCATTACTCAAGCTGAAAGAACTAAGGAAAAAATTTAAGCCTCAAAGTGTAATACTGAAACATTCTATGAGTAAAATATTGAATAATGCAGGAAGCATCAAAAGAAGATGGAAGGAATACACAGAGTCACTGTACCAAAAAGACTTGGTTGCTGTTCATCCATTTCAGGAGATGACATATGATCAAGAACCAATGGTATTAAGGAAGAAGTCAAAGCTGCAGTGAAGGAGTTGGCTAAGAACAGGGCTCCAGAATTGATGGACTACCCATTGAGATGTTTCAACAAATGGATGCCCCACTGGAGGCACTCACTCGGTTATGCCAAGACATTTGGAAGACAGCTACCTGGCCAACCGACTGGAAAAGATCCATATTTGTATCCATTCCAAAGAAAGGTGATCCCACAGAATGTGGAAACTATCGAACTATCATTAATATAACCAAAAAACCATACCAAACCCAATGCCATCGAGTCGGATCCAACTCATAGCGACCCCTCCTTGGGTTTCTGAAGCAGTATCATTATGGAAGCAGATTGCCCAAACTTCCTTCCAAGGAGTGTCTGGTTAGTGGTCAAATGCCATTAATATCACAAACAAGTAAAATCTTACTGAAGATAATTCAAAAATGGTTGCAGCAGTATATTGACAGAGAGCCTCCAGAAACGCAAGCTGGATTCAGAGGAGGATGTGGAATAAGGGATATCACTGCTGATGTCAGTTGGATCTTAGCCAAAAGCAAAAAATACCAGAAAGATGCTTACTTATGTTTTATTGACCATGCAAAAGCATTCAATTGTGTAGATCATAATAAATTGTGGATAATATTGAGAAGAACAGGAATTCTAGAACACTTGATTGTACTCATGAGGAACCTGTACATAGATGAGGAGGCTGTCATTTGAATAGAACAAAGGGATACTGCATTGTTCAAAATCAAGAAGGGAGTGCATCAAGGTTGTATCCTTTCTCCATACTCATTCAACTTGTATGCTGAGCAAATAATCTGAGAAGCTGGACTATATGAAGAAGAATGTGGCATCAGGGTTGGAGGAAGGCTCATTAACAACCTGCGATACACAAATGACACAACTTTGCTTGCTGAAACTGAGGATGACTGAAAGCACTTAGTGGTGAAGATTAAAGACTACAGTCTGCGGTATGGATTCTCCTCAATATAAAGAAAGCAACAATCCTCACAACTGGTCCAATAAACAGCTTCATGGTGGATGGAGAAAAGATTGAAGTTGTCAAGGATTTCCTATTACTTGCTCTACAATCCACAGCAATGGAAGCAGCAGTCAAGACATCAGACGACATTTGCATTGGGCAAATCTGTTGCAAAGGACCTCTTTCGAGTGATGAAAAGCACAGATGTCTCCTTGAACACTAAGGTGCACCTAACCCAAGCCATGGTATTTTCAGTCGCCTCTTATGAATGTGAGAGCTGGACAATGAATAAGGAAGACCGAAGAAGAGTTGATGCTTTTGAATTGTGGTGCTGGAGAAGAATGCTAAGAGTACCATGGTCTGCTAAAAGGATTAATAAATCTATCCTGGAGGAAGTGCAGCCAGAATGCTCCTTAGAAGCAAGAATGGCCAGACTTCGTCTCACCTACTTTGGTCATGTTATCAGAAGGGAACACTCCCTGGAGAAGGATATCATGCTTGGTAAAGTGGAGGGTCAATGAAGATAGGGAAGACCCTCAATGAGATGGATTGACACAGTGGCTGCAACGATGGGCTCAAATATAGCAAGGATCGTGAGGCTGGCACAGGACTGGGCAGTGTTTTGTTGTGCTGTGCATAGGGTTGCTATGAGTTGGAGATGACCTAACAACAACAACAACATATGAAACATAAATATAGGGTTTTAAGTGTTCTTTGTTACTTTGACATACATGGGAGAATGTAGACATTGGTCTAAAGCCTGATTTTTTTCATTTAACACTATGTGTTAGAGATCACTCTATGTCAGCAAATTCAAGTCTTTCTCATTTTTATTGCCACACATTATCCCATCATACGTACATGAAACAATTTACTTATTCTTTTACTGCTGGACATTTGAGATGTTTCTAATTTTTTGATTTATAGATAATACTAAATTAAAATCATGCTTCATTGTGGTAATTCTCACAGATTTTTCTAAAAATACAAAAGCAAGGCATGCTTTTTGGCATAAATATGGAAAACATAAGAAATTGAAGGAAAAAAGTCAAAAGTCATCCATAATACTTACCCCACAGAAATAATCACATTTTGATGTATTTCTTTCTAGTAGCTTTTGAAAGCATGTGTGTATGTATTTATAGATGCATAAATTTTCATGCAGTTGAGACTGTACTCCATAATATACTTCAGCAATGCCTTGTAAATAATTCAGGTCATTAGATATTCTTCAAAAATATTATGTTAATGCCTTCATAAGATTTATATGGATTTAACATAATTTGCTTGATATTTAAGGTATTTATAACTTTTTTGGTATTCAAGATGTTTCTGTAAATATCCCTATATATGCATTTTTGTCTGCATTACTGTTAATCTTCTTAAATGATTAATTCCTAAGGGTGGAATTATTAAATGCTCTTTATACACATTTGTGTTGTTGTTATGTGCCGTTGAGTCGGACCAATTCATAGCGGCCCCTCCTTGGGTTTCTGAGGCAGTATCACTACGGAAGTAGATTGCCCCATCTTCCTTCCGAGGAGTGGCTGGTGGGTTAGTGGCAAAAATTGTAAAAGGCAAAGATGGCACTTACCAGCAAGAGAGGTTTAGCATTAACTCTATAAAATATCAGCTTACTCTTAAATGGAAAGCTTTTTAAGTGGCAGGAGTAGCTATGGTGGTTTTTCTGGAAAAAAAAAGGCTGACATCAAATAGCTGATGTAAAGAAAGGACTCAGTGTCTCTAGATTCATACAAAAGGACCTGGAATTGGGTTAAAAAATACATTTTTCTTTTAATGCTTTACTTCTAATTTTCCTGCAAGAGCTAGTGTATTTTAAAACCATATTAATCAATTCTTTGTGAGTGTATGGTGAATACAGAACAGTTCTCATTACTACACACGATTAGCTAGTGGTTTCAATTGGGCTTCTGGTTCTCCTAGTAAACATTAAAATTTCAATAAAAATGTCTCTTTGAGCTTAGGAAAATGGAATGAATAGCATGTATGCTTGAACTTGGTCAACTCAGAACAAGAAATAAATTCCTAAGAGCAATTCTTTTCCAGTACTAAGAGGAGCTATATTAGGTGACTGTTAAAGGTCTCTTCCCATTATAATTACCTCTGGCATTTATATCAAGATGTTGCTGGCTTTATACTACATATATTTTTAGTGGTTTGTTTATTTCGGCATTAGACCTGGTAAGCCCTACAGATATTCCTGGGCCAAGAGTGTGTGACTGAGAGATCTGGCCAAGGAGGAAGCCTGAAATCACAGAACAAAGCAAAACCAATTGGCTGATACCTCTCAGCCTTGGCCCAATTAACACAGAGCTCAACCTAATTGGCCATCACACAATATTTGTAAATGGGCGGTTAGTAAGACATGCAAAAAACACTAGACACATCTTAAACCTTACTGCATCATAGTCAACGAACATTTCTAAATTCAGTGTTACGGCAGTGAAAAAGATGGATATTCACAGAAATACCTTCCTGAAAGTTACACTTGTAACAATTTACCAGAAGCCATATTTACCTGGTATTTTGGTAACATCTCTCAACAGCTCAAAGAGTAAGTCCAAGGTTGGTGGTTGGTGCTGACGTGGACAATTAGACACAGCTGCTGTTAACTGCTCAAGGAGGATGATCCAAACTTCTATCAGACCTGGAATCCCAAAAACAGCATGAGGTGCACTTAAACATAAAGAAGAAGAATTGCACAATGTATTTAGCAGGGTTCTATTCACTTTCAAAGCTGTAAGAATGTGAGACATCAAGGTATCAATCAGTGCCTAGACATGGGCAGATAATGATTTACAAGTTATGACAAAGTTAAGGGAAAAGATACCCATGTTTATTCCTTATTTCATTTCAAGAAGATGTGGTATGGTATGTGAATTCTACTCTATTGAAATGATTATCAGGTTTCTTGGGAGCTGATGACACCAAAATAATAAAACATCTCTTCAGTTTTTTCACCTTAGTTTGTCTTCTGTCCTTTTCCTATTGCCCCATTTTCCTAAGGTTCTATCATTCATCTCCAATTTCTTTTTTCACAATTTATAAATCTTTTTTTATGGCTTTGTATTTTTTCTTTAATTTTTATTGTGATTTCCATACAGCAACTCACATACACTTTGTCTCATGACATTGACTGCAACCTCCTACAATGCAACAGATCCCCTCCCACTTCTTCCCCAGAGTTACTTCCTCCTACGCACTCCTGCCCCCCAAGCTGTCTCCCCATGCATACACAGCCCTTCTATTCTCCCATGATTGATCTCTCCAAGGAGTGTATATACCTACTGTAAATGTTCAGCTCATATGCCTGTCTTTTGTTTGACTGGAAGCCACAGGAATGGATTCAATTCCAGACTTAAAGGGCAACTAGGGGCCATAGTTTCAGTGGTTCCATCAGGCTCTATCAGACCAGCAAACCTGGTCCTTTTTTAAAATGATTTTTTGTTCCACATTGTTCTCCCACTCTATCAGGATCTCTTACAGAGATCCCCCTCAGAGTAGTTGACAGTGGTAGCCGGGCACCATCTAGCTCTTCTCGTCTCATAGTTGTATAGGCTGAGGATCACATGGTGTACCAGTCTCTTGGACTAATTGTTTCCAAGTGTCTTTGGTTTCTTCATTCTTCTTTGCCCTGGATGAGGAGAGACCCATTGTTGCATCTAGATGGCCACTTGCAAGCTTTTAAGATCCCAGTCACTACTCACCAAAGCAGGATGTGGAAAAATATTTTTTGTGTAGTATGTTATGCCAATTGAGTTTATGTCCCTGTGACTATGGTCCCGAGCCCACAGGTCCAACTACTCATCCCCTCTGGTAGCTGGCTGTGGCCAAGAAGTGACTACAACCTTGCCCCTTGTCAGCTCTACTATATACCTGGCAATTCTTACAGAACATACAAATACACTTGTAGAAACACTGTCTGCCAACACTATATATGGTCTTGGGCACATTCCCCCCTGCATGGACATTCCTAAAAGTTCAGGCTATCTACCCATCTATCAAAGTTAGTCTTCATGACAACGCAGTACTGTAAATGCAAAAGGGGTCGTCTTTGCTGTCTGAATGTCTCATGCACCTTTCCATGTGCTTCTTTTCCTCAGTGCCACCATGTTGATCACTCACATTTGGTACATTGCCCTTCTCTTCACTCAAATCAACACTTGTCTCTACCTATCTAACAGTGTTCTCTCCCCTCCCCCCCCCACCCCTGGTAACCAACAAAGAAAATTTCCTTCCAT